GAGGACTTTCGAAAGTGGCTGGAACCAGCCTCTGGGGCAGCCCTGGGCTCTGCCCACACCAGCACCGGAGCCAGAGCCTGCAGGTGATGGGGAGAGACCTGGGGGAAAGGGCCAGGGATCGGCAACATGACTCTGCCCTGGGGGCTGGAACTAGGGGGGCTGCCGCACCCCCTGGCTTGAAGTGGTTTCCATCAAATGCAGGGTTTGGTTCAATGGCTCTCAGCACCCCCACTATACAAATTGTTCCAGCTTCTCTAGACTCTGCACAAACGGTCCCCCCTGATCCTCAGATCTTGCAGCTCCTGGGAATCTGCTCCCAGGGATCTGCGCTGTGTTAAGGAGGGGGCGTCATTTCAGAAAAATTCGGGTGAGGGCTGAAGATAGACTATTATCTAGTATATGAAATCCTGCAAAGTCCAGGTGTGTGTGTGTAACGACCTTTTATGTACTTGAAAGTCTGTTAGTCTATATGTATCTGCCTGGGGACCAAATATTTAATATTCGGCTTTTCAATCTAGCAGAGACAAGTCTAACGCGATCCGATGCCTGGAAGTTGAAGCTAGAGGCATTCAGGTTGGAAAAAAGGTATAAATATTTAGCGGCGAGAGTAATTAACCATTGGGATAATTTACCGAGTGTCGTCGTGGATTCTCCTTCACTGATCATTTTAAAAGCCAGATTGGCTGTTTTTCTAAAAAATCTGCTCTAGGAATTATTTGGGGGCAGTTCTGCGACCTGTGCTCTATGGGAGGTCAGACTAGATGATCACAGATGGATCTAGATGGTCCCGTCTGGCTTTGGAATCTACAACTCATTCAGTCTTTCCTTTATACTGCTTGGGCCTTTGATTGGCAGACCACGGTCCCCTTCTCAGGCCATAGCTTCATGACTGGAGGTGGGGAATTTGCATTCACCCCCAGTATGTATCCCCGAGGAAAACCACGTAACACCTTTCCCCCCCAAAAGTCCATTCTTGTCTGGCACATGCTCAATGTGATCCTTTGAACCCCCAGGTCTTGCGTCATTCTGCACCCAAAGGAGCTGATGGTTGGGATCCTGAACCCTAAACCTGTGTGACCTTGGTGCACCACAGAGGGGGAGTACAATTTCAGTGGCCCTGAAACTGCGACAGTGGGTAAGTCCATTTCACCTTTCTCAATCTCCCGAAGTTACTGTGTCGTCTTTCTCCTCTTTGCTGTTCCCCTTTCATCCTGGCTTGGGGAATGACTCCTGTCTGGATTCTCTCTCTATCCCAGCAGGTGAAGGGAAGGTGAGTGAGAATGAAGAGGAGAATTCCCAGCTGGAAAGTCCCGAGCAAATGGAACTGTGCGGGATAGTATCAGGAAGACATGAATGTAACGTTTCCTGCAGTATTGACCAGGGAAGATCCTGTGAGAGTCAGGGCATGTCCGAGAGAAACCAGCTGTGGAAGGAAGTGATTAAATCCATTAATTGTGGAGAAAGATGCACAGACCTCAAGGAAACCACAGCCCAGCGAAGAATCCACACACGAGAGAAAAAACACATGCACAAAGTGTGGGAAAAGCTTCAGTTTGAGATCGCAGCTTTTTAGACACCAGAAAACCCACACGAGTGAG